ATTAATGCTAAGCTAAATAGCATTAGGCTAAGCTAAATAGCATTAGCAAATCCTAATGAAGTTTTAATATAAATCAGCATAGCATAAGTTGGCTGAACTAATGCTAAGCTAATTAGCATTAGCCTGTATAATATTAGCTTTAGCATTCAGAGTCCAGAGATTTGAGAATTAGCATATGTTAACATAGCAATACAAGCTAATTTAGCTCAGTTAGTGCTAAAACCAACACAGATAATAGCACGGCTTCTAAGTAACTAATAAAAGATAAAAAACTAATCTGAAAACAAAACAGTGACATAACAATGGCTGTAATTAACAATGCACCACAATTAAAAGATGATGAAGACATGCAGGAATTTAAATCCAGGTTCGACCAAATCTTTGAACGCAATACAGGTCTTCAACCAACCGATACCCACTACAATCCATTATATAAAGACATATTTTTGGACTATCTGCCTAAAATTGTACGAGACATGGTTGAGACTTCCTGCGTTGCACTGAAAACTTAACTTACAAGATTTCCATGCACATGTAGAACATGCATGGGACAGACATCAGGCAAATAAACAAAAAGATAAGAATAAGCCTGTACAAGTTTTCGTCTCCCTGCCAAATTAAAAATGGTCTGATCACGGAGCAAATGGCAAATGCATTCTTTTCAATTCCAGTGTCTATATGATCTCAATACTGGTTTGCATTCACATTTGAAAGCAAACGTTACACCTACACACGTCTACCTCAAGGCTATACACAATCTTTCTGTATTTTCTCTATGGCCATGTCTGCAAACTTATCTAAATTTCATCCACCAGGGGGCTCTCAAATCCTACTTTATGTAGATTACATACCTTTAGCCTCCCCTGATCATAAAACATGCTTATCTGACTCTTTGGCCCTGTTACATTTTCTACATTCACAAGGCCATAAATGCAGCAGGTCCAAAGTTCAACTGGCACATCAACAAGTTAAATTTTTAGAACATATAGTTTCAGCAGCAGGAAAAACTGTGTCACCAGACAGAAGCAACACAGTTTGTAAATTGTCAGCCCCAACAGTTATGAAACAACTAATGTCCTTCCTTGGCACATTTAATTATTGCAGAGAATGGATTCCAAATTACTCCAAATTATCTGAACTGTTATATTCTTTACTTTCAGGTCCAATGAGTTCTGCACCAGCTACTAAAATCA